AGAAAAACAAGAGAAAAAAACAGAAAAAAAGGAGATGGAGGAATTTTTGTCAGAAATGAGTGAAGAAGAAATTGAACTTTCATGCAAGTCATTAGCACGAATTATCTCACGATCAAAACGTCTTGTTGTATTAACAGGAGCAGGAATATCAGTTTCAGCAGGAATCCCGGATTTTAGGTCAAGAAATGGAATGTGGAAGAGATATGAACCTAAAGTTTATGCAAGTTATGAGAATTTTGTTAATAAACCTGAAATGTTTTGGAAAATGTGTAATGAACTAAGAAACTGTACGGAAGGAAAGAAACCAACAAAAGCACATTTTGCATTAAGAAAATTAGAAGAAATAGGTAAATTGGAAGAAATAATTACACAAAATGTCGATAATTTACATCAACTAGCAGGAAGTAGAAAAGTAATTGAACTTCATGGAACAGGAAAGATATGTCAATGCATTAAATGTGGGTATCAAGGGAATGCAGATGTAGTACTTCCAAAAGGACTTATTCCATGGATTGATATTCCAAGATGTCCAAAATGTGGAGGATTGATTAAATTAGATGTAGTATTATTTGGAGAACAATTAGAAAAAGAAAAGTTTGAAAAAGCATTTGAAGTTGCAAGTTCATCAGATGTATTTTTAGTGGTTTGTTTATAAATTCAATGAAGAGAATAAAAAACTTAAGACATAGATTGGAAGTTCATTAGAAGTAATGCCAGCAAATGCATTACCAAGAAAAGCAAAAATGAATTCAGCAACAGTGGCATATATTAATAAAACAACCACACGATTTGATAATTATGCAGATTATGTGATTAGAGGAGAATCAGACTATTTAATACCAAAGATAGTAGAATATGTTATTGAATTTATGGAATTAGGATGTGGAGAAAAAGTCATAGATACACTTAGTTTTCCAATTCAATTTATTCAAAATCCAATGGAAACAATAACACAAGTAGTTGCAACAATAGTTGCATGGATAGGACCTAAAGTTGAAGAAGAAGAAGTTCAAAATTGTCTTGTTGATAGCTCAGAAATAGTTGAAGTAGTAACAACAAAAAAACAACACACAAAAACAACCGAAGAAAAAGAAGAAGAAAATAATGCAGCTGATAAAATTATGAATGAAATTAAGAATTCAATTAAGAAAAGAGAAAATGACAATAATTAAATTAAAAAGTAATAAAAAGAAGAAATAATTGCAGTTGTATTAATTTGTTTTGGTTGATAGACATTAAATAGTCTTATCCAAATCTATGGTTTTGTGTTATTTCATCAACAAGATGACAAATATTTAACATTTCTATTTCTGATGTTGCCATACAATTCATTATATAATGAATTTTTTTATCTATCATATTCATTCTTTCATTTATTTGATTAATTCTTATAGTCAAATATTCTTTTTCATGAAGTATTATTTCATCAAATTTTTGTTTATCGGTTTCATTTTGTTCTTTTGTAAATATTTCTTTGATTTTCTTAACTATTTCATTATAAACTTGTTGTTTGATTTGTTGTTCATTTTCATTAGATTCTATTGATGAGTTGATTTTCATAATTGGTGGAACATTACTTTTTCTTTCATCAAATATCTGTTGATTCTGACATTCACTGTCTTTTCTTATTGTTTCATATCTTTCTTTTGTTTTTTCTTTATTGATTTCTTTTAATTCATTTATTTGTCTCTTATCATCTAAATACTTCGACTCATTCGGATCAAACATTTCATTAATAAAATAATCAATCCCTCCTATTCTTCTCTTCTTAAATCCATATCTTTTCATTCTTTTCCAAAATGTTTTTATGTTTTGACAATTAATATCCCCTTCAAAACATTCTTTAAATTCTTGGGGTTTAATTACTCGGATTGCCTTTTCTTTAGGGTCATAGTCAATACATTTTGTCCCATCTTTCTTATGAACAAGTTCAATGACTCTTCGTAGAAACTGTTCTTTTTCTTCCATTCTTATTCTATTCTTATTATTCGTATTAGTGTCTTTTATTTCATTTTCTTTCTCTTCCGTAAGATACACAACTTATGTCTTGTTTTTTTTCTCACTCTCTACCCCTCATGCAGATTACATGAATATTCATTGTCAATGACATAGAATAAAGACAATACATATAATCTTCACTTGTTTTCTTGCTACAAGTCTAATACAAGACTGA